CAAATTCCACACAGTCATCGACTTTCCACCTGAAAGGTAAAGAGGACTTTGTTTTCCAGCAGCTATCATCACTGTTTGGGTGGGTTGTGTTTGTTCTGTCTCCATTATTTCTAGTGCCTAAACTTGTGGAAATTAGATTTAATGAATGGTGCCTGAAGTGTTGCAGTGAATCTCCCCTCCCTTTGGACTGTGAGATTCAACTAACATTGAGTTGCCCGCCGGGCTCAGTTTAGCCTCACAACGGTGCCGTTCCTTCCTTGCTGGGCAGGCAGTGACGAGATGCACAAAGCCACGCTGACGTCTACCCTGGCCTGTGCTGGCTGTACCTGGAAACGTTGGGGTTTTCCAGATTTCAGAGCCTCGTGCCTGAATCCAGTTCTGGTTCTCCTCTACGCAGAGCTGTTGGTCAGACCTGCTGACCCTAGAAACTAGACATGGCAGTGAAATGGGCTGATGAGCTGTCAGTGTCAGAGTCAGAGATGCTTTTGAAGTTCCTTTATGGCTGTGCAATTGCTCAGCCAGCAGTTATGCCTGCCTACTCAATCAAAGCCACCCTTTGATGCTGTCCTGTACAGGTGTGGAGCCTGTGGACCTCACATGCTCTGCATCTTGCTTGACACAGTTGAGGGGAATTTAGCCAGCAAGACTTCAGGGCTGAGCTATAGGAATGGAACCATCCTCAACTGCTTGAAATGGAGCGAGTTTCTAAGCTGTGTTTCAGCAGGAACCAGGCGGTGCTAGGAACAAGCAACTGTTGGCACGAGCTCAGTGCAGCTCTTCCCTCACCCTGCGCCACGCACGACTCACACCATTCCCTGTTTTCTCTCTCCAGACCAAGTCTACCCAGCAAGATAAAGGAATCACCAGCTGACTGTTGCTGTTCCTGCTTCAGCCTGGGGAAACCATCGTCTGGGGCCAAACGCCAGCCACAGCACCATCCCAGGGAGCCCTCAGAAATAGAAATCGTAGTGCTGGCAGGTAAGGGTGCAAATCCAGCTTTCAACGCCTTGCTTTTCAGCAACATAGAATTCTTGCTGTTGGTGGGCTTGTATCTACTTCCAGCGTTCCAACCCATACCTAACACCTTTAGTTCTCCCCTGATCAAGAACCCCTTTTGTAATTCAGCTTGTGAAAGTTTGGCACTAACCCCTGTGTATCCTTCCTAGATGAACTGAGCCCTTGTCCACCCAGAAGAGCCGGAGAAAGCAGCGAAGCTGGGCTGTGTGCTTCCACCAATGGAGAGCTCTTGGGAAGCACAAATGGCTGCGGATCACGTGACAGCCTTGCACGTAACAACAGTGATGGAGAGAGGGAGCTCATCCAAGTTGAAGCCCTCATTTCTCCTGGCTGTGCTGAAGATGCTGACCTGTGCCCACCAGGCACCGCAGTCACCAGCCTGGACTGTGACCCGGCACCTTTGCAGTGCAGCCCAGCCCAAGTACAGTCCGAGTGCCCGGACAGCAACACCTCTGTGCAGGAGCAGGTCAGCATCAGCGAGGAGGAGCAGCAGAGCCTCTTGGAGGGGGGCGTGCAATCAGGCCTCCAGTCCCAGGCACCGTGCAGCATCTCTGAGAGCTCTGAGCCACTCTCTACGTGATCTTTCCATCCAAGAGAGGACGATTTCCATCTTTACCTGGACCTCTCACGCCCTCCTGTGTTTTCCTTTAATAATAAAAGCGCACTTATACTCACTCAACGCCTTGAGTGCCTGTGGAGTCTTCATTCACGAGGACTGGGATGAATGCGGCACACAGCAAGGCACCTCTGCTGGCAACGCTGAGGCTGCAGGGTGCACGAAGCAGAGCTCTGGGTTATTTCCCATTCTGTCTGGCTTTGGGATGTCTGCAGGTCCCAGTTGGTACGGTAGCAAATAATCTCTAGCATCCTGGATTCTGCTCGTGGTGACCCCAAGCTTCCTGGCGGTGGCTTTGTGATGCCTTTCAGGGCTTTTGGATGCACTGTGATGCCTTGGCTGCTCCCTAGCACCTCTCTCCTCCGGCAGCGTCCATTCCTTGAAGGAATCAGCACCTGGCTGTTGGTGTTCCTGTTTCAGCCTGGGAAAACCATCTTCTGTGGCCAAACGCCAACTGCAGTGCAATGCCAGGGAGCCTGCAGAAATGCAAGTCGTAGTGCTGGCAGGTAAGAGTGCAAATCCTGCTTCCAAAGCTCTGCTTTCCAGCAACATAGAATGCATGCTGTCACTGGGCTTGATTGCCCTTCTAGCGTTCCAGCCCATACCTGACACCTTCAGTTCTCCCCTGATCAAGAACCACTTTTGTAATTCAGCCTGGGAGAGTTTGACACCAACCCCTGTTCATTCTTTTATAGGTGATTCGTGCTCTTGTCAACCGAGCAGAGCCAGAGCATGTAGTGATGCTGGGCTGTGTGCTTCCACCAATGGAGAGCTCTTGGGAGGCACAAATGGCTGCGGTTCAGCTGACAGCCTGCCGCATAACAACAGTGATGGAAAGAAGGAGCTGATCCAAGTTGAAGCCCTCATTTCTCCCGGCTGACACAAAACTGGGCAGAGTGGCTGACACAGCAAAAGGCTGTGCTGCCTTCCAGCGAGACCTGGAGAGTTGGGTGGGGAGAAACGGAATGAGAAAGAACAAGGGCAGGTGTGGAGTCTTGCATCTGGGCAAGAGCAACCTGATTACCAGTATAGGTTGGGGGCTGAGCTCTTGGAGAGCAGCGTAGGAGAAAGGGATCAGGGGATCCTGGTGGGCGGTAGGAGGAGCATGAGCCAGCACTGTGCTCTCGTGGCCAAGAGGGCATCGTGGGGTGTATGAGGAAGAGTACGGATAGGAGGTGGAGAGGTGCTCTTTCCCCTCTACTCTGCCCTGATGAGTGGAGCATCTCCCTGTGAGGAAAGGCTGAGAAAGCTGGGTCTCTTTAGCTTGGAGGAGACTGAGGGGTGACCTCGTTGATGTTTATAAATGTGTGAATAGTGAGCGTGAGGAGGATGAAGGCAAGCTCTTCTCAGTGACATCCAGTGATAGGACAAGGGGCAATGTGTGCAAGCTGGAGCATAGGGGGTCCCACATAAATAAGAGGAACAACTTCTTCACGGCAAGGGTAACAGAACACTGGGATGGGCTGCCCAAAGAGGTTGTGGGATCTCCTGTGGAGACATTCAGCAGCTACCTGGACATGTTCCTGTGTGCCCTAATCTAGGTGATCCTGCCCCAGCAGGGGGATTGGACGAGGTGATCTTTGGAGGTCCCTTCCAATTCCTGACATTCTGTGATTCTGTGCAAAGTTGGTTCACGGTAGTACTTTTGCTGCTGGGAAATAGGAGCGCTGATCTTTGGGGTAAGTTCAGCAAGGTGGACTCCCCTAAGCTGATACTGACTTCATCCTATAGCGTTGACTTCTGTCGTGATTTATTCCATGCCAGAAGTTCCGGATGCTGTCAGGAGTTATTCAAGCCCATTGGTGTTAATTTGATCCTGGACTGGCTGCTGCTTGACATGCTGTCTGCACAGAGGTAACACATGCATTAATTTGTTTCCTGTCCTCTGCTGTTTTGTCTCTTGTTTTTAGTTAATGCTGAAAACCCACCTACGGCTGTGGTTGGGAAATTGGTTCACTTGCTCGATCGGACCCAGATTTTCAGGAGGAGCTGGAGCTAATGAAACTGTGTGAGGAAGCTGTGACCTTGATCCGATCTAATCAACAGCTTGAAAATGACCTCAATCTCATGGACCTCAAGATTGGACTGCTAGTGAAGAACAGAATGACACTGCAGGTAGGAAATGCAGTGCTGGGAGACGAGCAGAGTGAATTGAGGCCAATGGCAGTTAGCATGAGGACCTTCTGAGCCTGGATCTCACTTACTCAGATGCAGTGGGAAGTATTTCCCCCCGAGTTACAGGTTTTCCTCCCAGTAAGTTCCTAACTGTTCCACTTATTACTATGTATCCCTAGAAAGAGAACTGCAGCAGAAACATCAAGGCTTCAAGTGTTTTAAAAACAAAGCACCAGAAAAAAACCCACTCGGGACCAAGGGAAAGCAATAGATGGTATGCTTGAAGGCTCTGAGAACTGTTTGTCTCTTCACTTGTGGTTACGTGAGTCGTGGACTTGCACACCTTAATTTCTTCTCACGTTTTGTGTGCTGTATCAGAAGGGGGAGGTGATTTTGGAGCAGGAAATGTGCTCAGACTGCTTGGTGTTGGTTGGCTGATGGAAGCCCCCTCTGTCACTTTGCTGACGATTGATTGCACACAAGAACAACGTTGCTGATACAGCGGTGCCTTTTTTTAACTCAAGCTGAAGTTACAGTCACCTTTTCCTTTGGTCCTGAATAGCGTGGCGCTAGGCTTGACCTTGTGTAAAATCTGAACCATGGCAGCAGTGAAGTACAGTTCCAAAGGAGGCTCCAGCTCTTGGGCTGATGCTGGCAGCAAAAAGTATCATAGTTATCAGAGCAGTGGAGGCAGGGAGTCAGCAAAATGGAAACAGGGCTTGGGGCTTCAAGCACAGTTGAGAAAGAAAGGCATTTTCAAGCATCTTCAGAACGCTATCAGCTGTGACAGTAGTCCCTGCTCAAAGCAATTAGTCCTTGTAGGTTCTCAACCAATTCTGGAATGTGGGGACAAGACAGAAATCGCTGCTACAACAGATAATGTTTCACTTCATGATCTCCTGATGTACCTTGACTGCCTTATCCACACAAAAGGAAGTGCTATCGTGCAGCTTTTTCCCATATTGCGTGTTATTTAAATGTGGAATCTGTCCCTCTGTGTTCTTTGCAGGATGTTGTTTCTCATAGCAAAAATCTTAGCAAGGAGAACAAGGAACAGCTCTGCAGCTCTGTGACGTGATGACGCTGAACGAGCAAAAGGGAGGTTTGAAAGCTTTGAGCAAAGAGGAGAGGGAAAAGCTGGAAGCCTATCAGCATCTTTTCTACTTGAGGTATGCAGCTTTCCATTCACTGCTCTTGTCATAGATGCTTACGTGTATTGGAACAGTCTGTGCTTCTGCACTGCAGCGTTGAGGCGCTGTCTGTCTTTGTGGTGTTGGCTTTTGTGGACACGTGCTGTATGGGAACTGCTGAGTCATGGCCTGAACCTCTGATTGATCACCTGAGGCGAGCAGTGAGTCAGGCAGAGGAGCACAGGTGAAGGCAATGCAGCTGTGCTGCTGGAAGGGGTGCAGCCAGGCTACAGCCCTCCTAGACCTGTTTAAGAGCTGGCTGCCAGTGGGGAAGGATCTCGTCTGGAGATCTGCTCTGCTGGAGTTTTGTAAGTGAGCCCAGGATAGGGGTAAGCCTTCTATTTATTCTCCTTTTGTTAGCTTAGTCTGCTTTGTCAAACTCTCTTGTTTATTTCATAATGACAACATCTTAATAGTCATTGATTATACACGTGCACTAAGTACTTTTTCTTCTTGTTTTAGACTACTCCAACGTACTTGGCCAAGCTGCTTTTGCAGATGCCTCAAAACAAACCCACAGAGTTCATGGATTCAGCCATCTTCACGCTGCATAACTACGCATCCAGTCAGAGAGAGGAATCTCTGCTGTTGCAGCTGTTGCAAACAGCATTGCAGGAAGAGATCAAGTACGTTGTAGCATAGGACACAGCCTTGCTGTTGCCTGAGTTTGGGCCGCTGCTAAAATTGCAGCTGTTGTTGTGTGATGTCCCGTGCTCATTAGCTGATAATGCTGAACTGTCCCTGCCTTCTGCTCATGCTGTTTCACGTCAGTCCTTTCTGTAACCTGGAAGGAGGAGGAATTACCTTTGTTCTTTAGGATTAAAGCCATTTTTCTTTAGCCAGTGCTTTCTTGCTCAGGGAGGCACTGTTTTTGATCTACTGCAGTGCTTTCCTAAGATTCATTCCCATCTAAGTTCTCTGCTGTCTAGTAAGAAGGACTTGGCACAGACTGCGAGCTTGGGCTTTACAGGCCAGAGTGAAGCTGACGCGAAGGTCACTGTTTTCCAAAACTGATGAGGAGGCTGAAAATCAGATGCTGTCTGGTTTGGGTTTTTTACTGGCTGTCAGACTTAAGGATTCTGGCTGTCTGTCGGCATAATTGAGTTGATTGTCACTTAGGAGTTTGGTGTTTATGACTTCTGGCTGATACGGAGCTTCACAACTTGCTAGGAATAGCAAATACATGTAATGTTGGAGGCAGTCATGCCTTTTTTGATGTTTTTAAGTATGAGGATGGTATGTGCCCTCCAACAGGTAACGCCTAAAAGGTTTGTTTAATTATTATTATCTTTTCTTGGAGTAGTAGTTCAGGAAAGTGCATGTCTATGCTTTATTCTCTGCTGCTGGATTTCCCATAGCGGCATGCTGTGAATGGCTTTTGTTGCTGATTGCTTACTTGTTGAAATACTGAAAGGAAATAGTTGTGCCTGTGTAGAACTCCCTTTGTTTCCTCTGTATTTTTGAGATGCGCTCTTTCAACCGTGGTGCCCGTGGTCAGAACGCACTGAGGCAGATCTTGGCCCCAGTTGTGAAGGAAATAATTGAGGACGAATCGCTCAACGTCAGAACGGATCCAGTGGATATTTACAAGTGCTGGGTGAACCAGATGGGATCTCAGAATGGTGAGGCCGGGTATGGAAGCTGTTGCTACTGTTTTTTTTCTGAAAGTTGCTCAGCTGCTTTGCATTGCTCTGTTAATCGTTCCGAACCATCCCTGTATTCATTGCATGCATCTGTCCAATTGCTACCAGCTTTTTTCCATCAGCTCGAGATGGCTTTCTTCTGAAAGGTATAAAGATCACAGAATCACAGAATTGTAGGGGTTTTAAGGGACCTCCAGAGATCATCGAGTCCAACCCCCCTGCCAAAGCAGGTTCCCTACACCAGGTCGCACAGGTAGGCATCCAGGCAGGTCTTGAACATCTGCAGAGCAGGAGACTCCACCACCTCCCTGGGCAGCCTGTTCCAGTGCTCCGTCACCCTCACTGTAAAGAAGTTCTTGCGCATGTTTGTGCGGAACTTCCTATGCTGCAGTTTCCAGCCGTTTCCCCTTGTCCTGTCTCCACTCACCACTGAAAACAGTCTGGCCTCACCATTCTGCCCCCCACACCTTAGATATTTATAGACCTGGATCAGGTCCCCTCTCAGTCTTCTTTTCTCAAGGCTGAACAGACCCAGTTCACTCAGCCTTTCCTCATAGGAGAGATGCTCCAGGCCCTTCACCATCTTCGTGGCCCTCCGCTGGACTCTTTCCAAGAGATCCCTGTCTTATTTGTACTGGGGAGCCCAGAACTGGACGCAGTAGATCATCTTGTGACAGGGGTGTTGAGACTATTAGAAGTGAATCTCATGAAGAGATAGGCCAAAAAAAGCCCCAAAGCATTTCTTCTGTGTTAACTCATAGGTACAGATACCGTAGCTCTTACTCTACCAAGCCAATCTCTGCCCACAACTCGGGCAGGCTGCCCAAGGAGGCTGTGGATGCCCCATCCCTGGAGGCATTCAAGGCCTGGCTGGATGTGGCTCTGGGCAGCCTGGGCTGCTGGTTGGTGAACCTGCACGCAGCGGGGGGTTGGAACGAGATGAGCATTGTGCTCCTTCTCAACACAGGCCGTGTTCATAGAATCACAGCATGCAGCTGTTCCTGTCTGCCCATGAGAAGGTTTCATCCACGTGGTCATCCTGGTTGGTTGGCCTGTAGATCCCCCGCTACGTCATCTGTCCCTGTCCTCCCTTTAATCTGTGTCTATAAACTCTTGATGGGCTCCCATCCGTCCCCAGTCAGAGTTCTGTGTTTCTTCCAGTGCTTGATGTTGACCAGATTTTGAGGATTCTGTTGTTGGTTGTATCTGTTTTGTTTTTAAGGCACTTCAAGGGAAGTGGTGGAAAAGCAATGCTATGAAGTAAAAGACAACTGTCCCAGCGCAGCACGCTGCGTGAGTTACTATCTTAACACTGCAATGTGCAGCTTGTGTTTTCACTGATTTATTTGCGACCTGAGGTACTACTGCGTATCGCAGGTGACCTTCTTGACTGTAGAGAGCGTGTCTGCATGTGGTACAGAAAGATACAGTTCAGAGTTAGCTGGGCCTGTTCTCACAGCGACTGCTGCAGGGACAGCAGAGGACGTGAGAAGTCCTTTGCTCTTTCAGTGCTAGCATTCTAATGAAAGTGAAAGCGTGCAGCTCTTTGCAGCCAGGTGAGCGTGGATCTGTTTGTGTGTCAAGCCAAAAATTCTGCCTGGCACTGACAAAAGTATATTAGGCTGAGGAGTGCTCACCTTCACATCTGACTTTTCCAAATAGCAAGTTGCCGTACGATGTTGCACCTGAACAAGCTCTTAATCACGGTGAGGTGAGGATGCACCTGGATGCCTCAATCCGAGATGTGAAGGCAGTGACAGACAAGTTCCTGTCTGCCATCGTTGTTCAGCTGACCAAATCCCGTAAGTCTGGTGTGTCACCGCGTTATCCTGCAGCAGTTAATAGTGGGTTCATCCGTGAGGAATTCTCACTTGCCTTTTATTTCCTTCGAAGTTACGGGATGCGTTTCATCGCCAAGGTACTGAAAGACTCCCGGCATGACAAGTTTCCTGATGCTGGCGAGGATGAGCTTCTGAAGGTAAGGAGCTGAGCAGCTCTGTGAATCATTGTCTGCCACGCTGACTGCAGCAGATGCATCTCAGTGTTGTTTGTTGGCTGTACGTGTGCAGAGAAGTTTCAAAGCTGCAGTTTAAGTAGACAGGCTATTTGTTGTTATGGGTATAAAGTACTTTGCCCTGTGCTTTGGATTGCTGGGTACATGTTTGTCAAAGGAGAACATAATACAGCGTTCAGAAGAAGTCACCCTATTGCTTTTCCTTTTGCTTTTAATATCTTGGGCATTGTGCCCCCTAGGTTTCTTGGCTTTGGGATGCTCTTGCTGCTGAATGGTGCACCTTGGTTTTGCTGGTGTTATCTGAGTCAGTTGCTCTTTTTTTAAAGAGACAGGTGAATTCATTTTTTCCATCTGTAAATGTAGGTGGAAAGCTGCAGTTTTTATTAATCCTTGTGGAGACAGTGTCACGGCCCATGCCGCACTCTGAACTGCAGCTGTGTGCGGTGACTGCCTGTAGATGCATTAGGGCCTAAAACTACTCCTACAGTGTACTGTTCTTGTCTTCCTACTACATGTTTTACTATTATCAGTATGATTTCTCTCACAAATGTGTTTCTTATGACTGGTAGTGAACAGTTTTGTCTGTTGTGACCATGTGCCGTCACCTGGGATAGTAGAGCAAGAGCTGAAACCGCTGTCAAAACCATGACCTCTGTGAAAGCAGTTAATTTCTGGGGCAGCTTAGCAATGGCGAAGCTTCTTCTTTCTGTTTTTGCCATTTCTTCACACCTCTGATCTCTTCTGTGCATTCAAATCGCACGTGAAGCAGGAGAAGCCCAGATTCTGTGACTTGGCTCTGCGCAGATTGATGTGAAACTCCAGGAAATACTGAAGCATGTGGCGTGGGAACTTTTGCTGCATGTCAGCGTGCTGGGCCAATGCCTTTTTGTTGTGGGAATTACTGCAGGCAAATGTCCAATACGGGTTAGAAGTAGATGGATGAGCACGTGGATAACGGGCTGTCTTTATCTTTGGGGCCTCGGCGTTCATTGCTGCTCACTTAGCTGGTGAATTGGACTTCTTTTGAAATGTCAAATACCGCTCATCTTCGGTACTTCTGAGTTTCTTACTTCTGGATTAAATGCACCGTTGTGCATTTATTTAGTGTATGTATCTATGTTGCAGTGTGAAACTAAGATTCTTTGGGACAGCATGTGCTTATTAATGGCAGCGCAGTAGACCCTGCATCTGGAACGGGGCCCACAGCTCACAGGAAAGTAATTGGTCAGAACTCACTCGGAGTAGTGTCAGTAAAAGTCAGTGGAGGTCTGTGCCATTGGTTTTCCACGTGTTTTTTTCTCTCCTCAACTTGTCCTAGATTGTTGGCAACTTACTCTATCACGGCTACGTGAATCCGGCCATGGTGGCACCGGCTGCATTTGACCTAATGGATCTTTCAGCTGGAGGGCAGCTGACTGCAGATCAACGAAGAAACCTTGTGTCATGGTTTTATGATTTTTGGTCATCAGTATTCCACACCATAACATCATGTAATGCACTGGGGGTGGGGTTTGATATCTGCCGAATGTTCGTCCGTCGGAGAAGAACTACATTTCCCCAGGAGGCTTTGCGGTCAGCAAGGGGATATAACTCCATGCAAGGTCACCTGAGCCTTCTTCTTTGCCTGCGCTTCGCTGTCTGCGCTTCGCTGTCTGCGCTTCGCCGCCTGCGCTTCGCCGCCTGCGTTTCGCCGCCTGCGTTTCGCCATCTGCACTTCGCCGTCTGTACTTCAGTCACTCAACTGGACTGCACTTCTCACCCCAGGATTGTGGTGAGGTCTATACAATTCAAACAGACTCTCTCTCTCTCTCTTTGTAGTTTACTAATACTATATTTAGTAAAATCATTTGTTCCACCTCAGATCAGTGCTGTTGTTTTTTTCAAGTATTTTGGGGTCCCCTGCTTCCCCTTTTCCAGAGGCGCGGATCCGCAGTCCCTCCGCCCTGCTGGTCACGGAACTGGGCCGGACCAGCCCATAAACCGTTGACATTTTTGGTGGAGAATGCGGGCAGCAGTTGCTTTCTAGCTGTTTAGACTCTCTGCTCTCGGAGAGTTCCGTTGGTAAAGCTTATCTGTTTCACTGGTACTCTCTAAAAAACGTGACCTTGAAAGCTCCAGGCGGACTGCCAGTATCGTAGGATATTTGTAAACTCAGAGCTTTACTATCTCGCCTCTGTAAAAAAAAAAAAAATGCTTTCTGTAGTGAAACTTACTTTTAAAGGGCTGCACGCTGCTGCCTCTTCTTTCCTAATGCTCAAAACATACTGGGCATTAATTAAGCTTGCCACCTTGCTCTATGGAGCAATCGGCATATACAATCAAATGAAAACATGGGTGGAAATATGGACCTGGCACGTTCGTACAATGTGGCTTACAATTCCGGAGACAGCTGCCAATTTTACAGGACTGGGATTTTTTAAGGTTTCCAGTCTCACCTTTCAGCCTGTAATGCAGTTTCTGAATGAACACCTAGTCGCATTACTAATCTCCCTGAATGTATTGCTCATCATTTCGCTCAGTATTAGTATTTATTATATTTTGAGGATATCCTCCCCAAAACCAGAGAATACTGAGTGGCAGGGAGTGTGGAGAGGTCTGGGAAAGACTTTAGACAGATGGAAATCTTCAGTCTCATGGAACTTTACTCCAGAACACCTGAAAGACCCTGAGATTCTAAACAGCTATTTAAGGCAGGAATGTTGCGGTTTGGGCAGTTCTGAGGAGGCACATATGATTTGGGGCCTGGCTAATGCTTATCGGGCCTTATTCAGTACTATCCTGGAGAGAGAAAGAGCTTCTGAAATTGAAAGGGAGAGCCTCAGGGAAAAAGTTCAAAATGAGCGAGAGAGTCTCCTGCTCCAGAGGAAAAACCTCCGATCTGAGAGAGATGCCCTCCGAATTGAAAGAGACTCCCTGCAGTCCAAACTCGACAGTCTTAAATCTCAACAACACACCCTCCAATCTGAGCTAGATACTGTCATAATCGAACGAAACAAGCTCCAAGCTGAACTGGAGGATGAGAGCATTGGAACCGACCAACTTGATCAACCACAAGAGGCACCACAATCGATGTCAGTTGCCCCTGTAAGAGGACGAAAAACAAAGCGAATCTCGACTCAGTTAGAAGAGAAGAAAGAGGAGGAAAGAGGTCCAGAGGAGTGGCTCCGAGGTCCAAGAGAAGCACCTCTGAGTCCAGGGGAGGGACCCTCAGTAAGACCACGGTCACCAACACCTACAAGGGCAAGAAGTCCTGGAAGAGCAAGAGGTGAGCAAGATATTGTTACTTTTGTGGATCGATCTCTGAAAATGAATGAAATTCGAAGTCTGAGAAAAGACTTCTCTCGCCACCCAGATGAGCCTATTGCTACTTGGTTACTTCGATGCTGGGACAATGGGGCCAACAGTGTGTGGCTAGATAGTAGAGAAGCTCGCCAATTGGGTGGCATTGCTAGGGACTCCGCCATTGACAGAGGTATTAGTACATGCCAGAACCAGGCTTTCACCCTCTGGAAGAGGATGCTGTTAGCTGTAAGAGAAAGTTACCCCTTCAAAGACGATCTGATGCCCGAGAAGAAGAAATGGGCTGATATGGAGGAAGGCATCCGTTATTTGAGAGAATGTGCTGTGGTGGAAACACTACATAGCCCTGATTTCATTCCTGATGAGCCAAATCAAGAGCATGATCCTGAGAGGGCCAGGTATACACCAAATATGTGGCGTACGTTCACGAAGACTGCACCAGAAAGGTACGCCAGTACATTGGCAGCTATGTATGGCAGAGGGGAAAGAAGACCCCTTATAAATGAATTGGTTAATAAGCTTCAAGACTTTGAGTTACATTTAAGCCCTCTACGAGCTTGTGTTTCAGCCATTGAAAAAGTAGCTGAAAAGCTGGACAGAATGGAAAACAAACAAGAAGATATAATAGATAAACTATCAATTGTGCCTGATGCCGATGAATACATGGTGGTCACAGATACATCTAATGAGGAACAGAATTCCCAAAACAGCCTACTTGAGGGGCTGATCAATTTGGTTTCCTCCCAGCCGGTGTCATCCAACATCTCAGCTATCAAAAGAAGACGTCCTCCTGCTCGAACAAGTGACAACAGTAAGACCACGTCACGTTTTGTCTTGTGGCATTACCTACGCGACCATGGAGAAGATATGAAGAAGTGGCATAAGCAACCCACTCCTGCACTTCAAGCACGGGTAAAAGAGCTACAAGACAAATCAGCCACCAAGGTGAACTTCTCCAGAAAGGTAATTGCTCCAGTTGCTGCAGACAACAGAGGTAACAAATAGAGGGGCCCTGCCCCCAGCCAGGGGGGGGAAAGGGATAATAGAGTTTATTGGACTGTGTGGATTAGATGGCCTGGTACATCAGAACCACAGAAATATAAGGCCCTAGTTGATACTGGTGCACAGTGCACTCTAATGCCCTCGAGTCACCAAGGGACAAAATCAATTTATATTCATGGGGTGACAGGAGGTTCCCAAGAACTGACTATGTTGGAGGCCGAAATCAGCCTCACTGGTGAAGACTGGCAAAAGCACCCTATTGTTACTGGCCCAGGGGCTCCATGTATACTTGGTATTGATTACCTCAAAAGGGGATATTTTAAGGATCCCAAAGGGTATCGATGGGCCTTTGGAATAGCTGCTGTAGACACAGAAGGTGCTAAGCAGTTATCTGC